ATAGCTATACTAGACCCAATTTCACATATTCACGCTAAAAATGTGAAAATTCTCGGGGAGAGTAAAAAATCACGTGCTTACAAGGGGTGCTGCACCAACAGGCCTACACCTCTCATAAGTCTCCCACCAAGTGAAGGCAACTCCAAAAAACTGAAAAGTAGTGAAAGTGACCTCGTTGGTCTCCAGAATACCTGCCGTGCGAAGAATCCTCTGACACTTGTCCAAGAAACCCTAGGAATCCTCGCCCTCTGCACCACTGAAAGTCGGAGGTTGAAGTCTACCAAACCTCTCCAACCTACGTTGGTCGTCCTCTGGCATGGCAGGAGCTACATAGTTCTGAGTAGCTGCAACCGGCTAGGCTGGATGGGCCCCCGGTGTCTGAAGTCACTGCACGACCTGCACAGGTGTGCGAGCAGCGGGAGTCTAAGTTCCTCCCCCGGCCTAAAAAGTAGCTGCGACTGTAGTAACTGAGACCGCCTAAGCTAGGCCTGTGCATACTAATAGAATCTGAGCCAAGGCCTCCTGATGACCCGGAATCACAATGGGCACACCTGGTGCCTGAGCTGGTGCTGCTAGAGCGTCCACAACTGGGACCTGATCTTGAACTGGGGCAACTGGTGGGTTTGCAGGTGCTGCCCTAGCTAGTGTGAATGCCATACCACTGCCCCTATAACGACTACGACCGCATCATCGACCTCTAGTGGCCACAACTGGTGGTACTGGTGGTCGTCCATCCTGACCTGTAGCGCGCGTCCTCACCATCTGTGAGAGAATGGAATAACAGAAGTTTAGTACTCATATCAACAAATTCGCATGATAGAATTTCAAGAATATGAAGTTTTCCTAAAAGTTTCTGAAGCCTCTTGAAGATAAATACAGACGTCCCCGTACCGATTCGCGAGACACTACTAAACCTGCTCATAACTCGTGAGACCTATGTAACCTAGGCTCTAATACCAATTTGTCACGACCCTAAACCCGGACCCGGTCGTGATGGCACCTCTCGTGAAGACAAGGCCAGCCAACACACTCCCAATTCATTTTTAAGCAATAAAATAATACAAATTAAGTATTTAACATAATAATAATAATTCCAAAATAAGGTGAATACTATAGTTTGCGGAATAGACATAGCCCGACATCGGGGTGTCACCAGTCATGAGAATCTACTATTCGAATAAAGGCAGGAAAAGTTTACATAGCCTATTACAGAACTAAACAAGGAAAAATAAGATAGGGGAAGAAACACTGGGCTGTGAACGCCGAGCAACTACCTAGTGAATCTCCGGAATCTGCTGGAAGCTCTCAACCCTCGCAAGCAGGACCTAAACCTCCTGAATCTGCACACGGGGTGCAGGGAGTAAAGTGAGTACTCCAACTCAGTGAGTAATAATAATAAATGAAGACTGAGAGATAAGAAATCACGTAAAAGCACATCAACATATTATAAAGAAGCAGTATAAAACCGGTAAAAGCAATAAAACAGTGAAAACATGTAAAAACACTTAGTTCAGAAGAAGCTTCTTTAAAACACCTTTTTAACAACTAAACAATTAAATGAGAAGTAGCTAGAACAGATAAACACATAAAAATCCGTCCCTCGAGCACAATGTCAACAGAATCCGCCCCTCGATCAATATCATGGAACAACACCAGCCCTTCGGGCTATATCTCATATAACAATGGGTACCCGCGCTCATTGGGGGTGTACAGACTCCGGGAGGGGCCCTTACGGCCCGAGCGCAATATCAAGCCATCTCGTGTTATAATCAGTAGGTTCTCGGCCTTATATCAACAAGCCACCTCGTGGCGTACAATCTCAGGCCCTCGGCCTTAAAATCATGAATCAGTGTGTCCTCACAACACAGACCCTCGGCCTTACTTAGTCAAAATCTCATAAGCCACTCGGGCAACAGTAAAACATGATGCTCAGCCCAAATCATCATTTAAAATATCATTTAATGTATTAAAACAGAGTAAACATGGCTTAGTTATGAAAACAGTAGGATATAGCATGACTGAGTACAAGTATAAAGTCAAAATAGTGAGAAAATATCAGTAAAAATGCCCTAAGGGTTCAAATAGTTGGCACGAGGCCCAAACATGGCATTCAACCCAAAACATGATGATAGCAAATAGTTTTCAATCAAATACGCAATAAAACAGTCATTCAGGATGGACTAAGTCACAATCCCCAACGGTGCATGACCTCACGCCCGTCATCTAGCGTGTGCGTCACCTCAATATAGCACAACAATGTGAAATCAGGGGTTCCATACCCTCAGTACAACATTTACAATCATTACTCACCTCTATCCGGTCCAAATCTCTAGCCCCGATGCCTTTGCCTCTTGAATTAACCTCCGACTGCTCCAAATCTAACCAAAATCAATGCAAAACCATCAAAATATACTAAGGGAACAAAGCCCACTCGAAAGAAATCAAATTACAACACAAATCCCAAAATTGGCCAAACTCGACCCCTGGGCTCATGTCTCGGATTCCGATAAAAATTATATCAATAGACTCCTAATCGCTCCCTGAGTTCATTCATATCAAAAGCAACAAAATCCAACCACAAACGACCCCTCAAGTCCCAAATTATAGGTCTCCAATTACAAGCCCTAGTTCTTCAATATTAGGCTTAAATTCGATGATTAATTAGATAGAATTCACATTAGGATTGAGTATTAAGTCCATAAATCTTGCCTCCAAGTGTTCCCCCTTGAATCCCTCTTCAATCCTCTTCAAAAAGCTCCAAAACCTCTCAAAAATTGTGGAAGTTAGCCCAAAAATTGCGGACAATGGCTATTTAAACATTCTGCCCAGGCATTCAAATCCTTCTTCGAGAACGCGATCAAAGGCTCGCGTTCGCGAAGCACAAACTTAAGTTGACCAAATTTTCCTCCTTCACAAACGTGTCTTACCTCTCGCGAACCCGATGCCTCCAGACTCCAACCTTCGTGAATGCAGCTCTCCTTCTCGCGAACGCGATGCTCAATGGCCCAGCCCTTCGCGAACGCGGGACCTCTCTCACGAATGCGAAGGCCAAATCTTGAGCCACATCTGCTAACCCTTCGCGAACGCGAAGGCCAATTGTCTGCAACACCCAACAATTTTCTGCTTTTTTTCACAACATGAAATTGTCCGATTGAACGCGAAGGCCAATTGTCCGCAACACCCAATAATTTTCTGCAGTTTTTCACAACATGAAATGGTCCGATTGACCACCCGAAACTCACCCGAGGCCCTCGAGACCTCAACTAAATATGCCAACATATCCCATAACATCATTCAAGCTTGTTCTAATCTTCGGAACGCTCAAAAAAATATTAAAACACCGAATTCGCATCAGATTCAAGCCTAAGAATTCCGAAATCTTCTAAATTACATTTTGATCAAAAAGTCTACCAAACCACGTCGGAATGACCTGAAATTTTGCACACGCATCCCAAATGACACAACGGAACTATTGCCACTCCCGGAATTCCATTTCGACCCCTATATCAAAATCTCACCTATCAACCGTAAAACGCCAAAATTCCAATTTCGCCTATTCAAGCCTAAATCCATCCCGGACCTCCAAAACACATTCCAATTACGCTCCTTAGTCCAAAATCACCTCTCAAAACTATCCAAAACATCGGAACTCACATCCGAACTCTCTAACATATAAGTCAACATCCGATTGACTTTTCCAACTTAAGCTTCCTCAAAAGAGGCTAAGTGTCTCAAATCTTCTCAAAACCTTTCTGAACCTGAGCCAACCAACCCGATCTCATATAGAAATGATAAACAAAGCAATAAGAAGTAAAAATGGGGAAAACAGAGCGGTAACTCATGAGATGACTGGCCGGGTCGTCACAACAAAATACTAATATTTCCTAATGATAAAGCTGGGGCTGCCGAACCATCTACTTGATAAACATTGATTTCTCCTCTACTTAGTCGTTGCGTTACCTTAAACCCCTACAAATAAGTGCAGACATGATTAGTGGCTCCCGAGTCTACATACCATGACATGGTAGAAACAATAGCTAAAAGAATTTCAACGACAAGTAGATGTAAATTACATGGTTTATTATTCAGCTTGGCCAGATAACCCGGACATTGCTCCTTATGATGCCCAGGCTTCTTGCAGTGATAACACTTACCCTTAGGCTTTTTTGCACTAGCAATTGCGCCTCCAACAGAGGGTTTTTGAGTCTTTTTCTTCTTCTGTCCGCTCTCGGCTTAGAATAAGAACCTACCTCAAAATCCAATGCCACAGGAGGAGCTTGTTGCTTGATAATAGTCTCTGCCGACTGCAACTCATTCAGCAATTTAGTAAGTGACAAATCCATTTTGTTCATATTATAATTAAGGCGAAACTGCTGAAAACTATTAGGCAGAGTCTGCATGATCATCTTCTCAACCTGCGTATCCTTATCAATGTTAGCTCCAAGGACCTCCAGTTCATTTAGAAGACTCATCATCTTCAAAACATGGTCCCTAACAGATGAACCTTCAACCATTTTGGTATTCAGAAGATCCTTCATCGCAGTCTGCTTAGCCACACGATTCTGATCTACAAACATCTCTTTGAGATTTTCCAGAATGTCATAGGCAGACTCCATAGACTGATGCTGATGTTGTAGAACATTCGACATAGATGCCAGAATGTAACATCGAGCCATCTCATCAGCCTTAACCCATTTTTGGTAAGCTTTCTGTTCATCATCCGTAGCATCATCTCCAGGTTTTTCTGGACACACCTCATCAAGAACAAATTTGTACTCTTCAGTAATTAGGACAATATCCAAGTTTCGTTTACGGACCCTCAAGTTTGTTTTGAGTAAGAATAGCAGTAACAGGATTAAAAGCAGTCATGGTTAATCTGGGAGACAATTAAATAAAAAGATCAAAATCAGTCATATTCTAACACACCACATACATATAATCCATGCACCTTGANCACTCCATGAATTTAAACAGGCCTTTCTCAGATGGAGAGTAAAGTGTTAATTTAAGTTAAGTGAACATCAACATTCAATATACTAGTCCCATTGAACCAACATGCATACTCAGATGGAGAGTAAATACAAGTTATCAACAACTAGTATTACTTAGTGATTATCTATAATGAGTTTATCCAATATGGAAGAATACCTACATCAACGTGTAAAATCATTATATTACAAGAATTTGATCATGGAGTCCATAGGGAACGATCCCTATCACCACTGGATTAATACAACTTATTTTTTTTTTTGAAAAAATTCCAGAAAATTAGAAAAACGCCCAAAACACCATCTAAACGACTTCAAAAGCCCGAAAAACGGCTTACGTCATGAGCGAAGCTGATTTGTATTGATCACTGGGCCGTTTCGCTTGGAATTTTCAAATTTCAGGTCAATCGGAGTGCGTCAACATATTGACCTCCAATTTTCTGGCCAATTCGGCCAAATAGCGGCTTTTGCGTTTTCCTCGGAATAACAAAATTTTAAAATTATTCTAATCAAATGTCATCAATAATAAGTAGATATTACATGATTTTCAGAATAATCAAAATTCTCGGAACAAATATTCATGCTCAAAATAGTGCAGCTTTACAGAAAAACAATCTTTGCATGTAATTCAAAACTTGCATATTAACAAGATGCTCATTTCATGTTCATCCTAATTATCTAATTAGACGTGAGTAGGCTCTGATACTAATTGTTGGATTATGTATCGCAGCGAAACAATTACAGTATCATATTCACGTGTAAATTAAACAATTGGCACATATGGAGATTATTCGAATTACCTCTTGAAGCGTGAACAAAACATATTAATCTCGGTCTCCATTTCCAGAGTAGCAAGACCGCGACCTCAGCAAAACCTCCCACGGTATTCTACTATGTTACCAAAATAATATCCGAAAAGAGAGAATTTCGAGTGGGCGAAATTTCAAGGAAAAAAATGTGTAAAAAATCTGCATGCCCTATATCATGCATATATAGCCACATTTTTAGGGTAAAACCTTTTTCCAAACCTGTTAGGCTTTCTTCTTTCACAAAGGAAAGGTTTCTTTTATTTCCTATTATTTAGGCGCAGTAGGAACCACTGAATTTAATTAACAAGGCTCCCTATTATGGAATTAATTTCAAAACTAAAAATAATTTCTACCATAATAAATTACGAATTATTTCACTAAATATTCGTAATTGCACTCCTTAGTTAAATTTCGAAATTCTTCCATAAAACCTTATTTAACTCCTCACGTTAAGATTCAGATACTAATCAATCAAATTAAATTACTGACAATTTAATTTATTGATTACTTTCTTTAGACTTTCATTTAACTTATTTCATGTATCAGATACAAAATCCACCGCCCGAGTTTACACATGAAAACTTATAAGCTTTCAAAAGGAGTATCATCAATCTCAAAAGCCGAGACATGGATTCTATCAACTAAATATTACTTCGCTAATGTGTATCATTATTGTCCAATTTACTAGGCTTATTGACCCACAAAAGTATCTTGCCTTTTAATAAATCAAAACAATAAATGACACATACAGCTAATAATAATTATATCAAGATTAAGAGTATAAGTACATTGAATGGACTAGACAAATTATTTTATTAAATCAGTATAAAATACTTATTTCTACTTGATCCGTTCAATACATATAAAATGTACTAACACAAGAAGTCAGAATTAAACCATTTCCATAATCAAGATAAATTATATATAATCTTGTGCTACAACCATTCCAATATTTTGTCCAAATCCATCATTAGATTGTGAACATAAAATTTATGACTTATAAGAACCGATGATTTAATCTTTCGTGTATAAGATAAACTTTATATACTAAATCATCTACTATATAAGCGAATGACACACAGACAAATACATGATCTATTTAAAATAAAATTTTATTGAATTGAATAAATAAATAAACAATTATTTCATAAAGAATACTATAACAATATGCATGGTTTATAGTATTATCCTAACGGCAGGATGTTGTTGGCCATGACGGAAGAGGTTAACGAACATAGGGGTATTTTTTTAACAATTTTACTGATGACAAGGGTATTTTTGTTCGCAAAATCTAATGAAGTTAAAGATAAACTATTTATGAAAGTAGAGGATAAATCTGACCTTTTTCCCCGTAAAATTAGTGTCATGTGTGGTTTTACTTACTTTTCATGCATTCACAAGTGAGACTACAACAACAACAACAATCCAGTATAATCCCACTTAGTGGGGTGTGGGGAGGGTAGTATGTACGCAGACTATGATATAGAAGTTTGCTGATCATAGAGCATGAATAACTTCGCAAATTATATTTCATCCTAAGAAAGCCCATAATCCGTGATCTGATTGTATAAATATCGTTCGCTCGTTATATAATTGAGAAAAATATAAGACACCATCTAGCCTTACCTTGGCAAATAGCATTGGCTAACAATATGGTACACATTACTCATCCTCAATCATAATAATGTTAACACTTCCCTTGTATCCTTACAGAAAACTACAAACGTATGTACATATTTCATTATTTCTTTATCCTCTATACGCCTAAATCATATATGGTAGACCATTCCTACCTCTAAAGTAGAAGCATGAGGTACAGTTAACGCATAGGTGAGTGGTCTGCTATTCCTTCTCAGAAACTCATACCCATAATTTATAACTATTCTCCTGAATAAGCTAGATCCTTGTTTGGCTTGGACATAGTAATGCCCCAATATGTAAGCTATGCCTGCTTCTCTAGCTTCCATCAGTTCTTTCAACTCCTCGTGCGCGCCTCTGCCGATCTTTGTAGTTTCTGATATGACAAACTTCACACTTTTCTTAGCCTTGGTTAACTGTGAAGGATGTATTTCTCTAAGTTCCGACGTTCCAACCGAGTCAGATTTCACTTCGTCGTCCTCACGAAGTTGAACTCTAGATACGTGTGTTGAAGCGGTTCCAACAGCAGTCGAGTCCTCAAAATTCTTTAAATCTGCAGCATTACTATTCAACCCTGTATTTCCCGTCCGTATAAACTCAGCTATGTTACATACAAGATCATCCTGGAACTGGGAATCATCCTTGTGAGCATCACGATAACCATATCTCACGATGCACCTATAGATGCGATACTCTCCTGGGCCAATGTATCCAACACGGAACCGTTCTTCGTGTCTAACATGAGGAGTCTGGACAAATTTGACACAAACGAAAACTAAGACTTGGTGGAACGCTGGAAGATTGGTAACAAAGTGTGAGAAGATTGCTGGGATTCCGGATACAAGCTCAGTGTGTATGACGCCAATGCCACGGACTCTTACAATGCCTAGGCTAGGGCCTAAACTCAGTAGCCAGTCAACCGAGACCTTATTTTGAAGGTCAAACTCATACTTTTTCAGTGAGCCATAGTGCCAAATGCACATTACTATCATGAAAATAAAAGCCATGGCAATAGGCACCCATGCTCCTTCCAAAAATTTAATCAAAGAAGCAGAGAAATATAAAGCCTCAATTGTCCCAAAGAAGATCACAAAGCAAATTGCGAAGGAAACACTCTGGTGCCAGCACAAAACAATTACCAACGACATCAAGCAAGTGGTGACCAGCATGACAGTTATGATAGCTAAACCTGATTCCAAGAGAAAATTTTAGGGATAAGGGATATATTAGACCACTTCATAAACAAGTGGAAAACAGAATTTCTAAAGAAACGAGTATATGCAAGCACAAGAGATAGAGAATCCATAGCAAAATTAAACATGAAAACCAGTCCAAATGATTTCAACCCAAAAGAATTTTGCTATCCTTTTTGAACATGATTAAAGCCATACCTGCAGCGTTTCCCATCCTTCTGGTGTCTCTGAAACCAACAGTAACGGCCAAACATAGTAGCATTAAGGTCCAGTTAATCTCTGGGATGTAAATCTGACCATGTATTGTTGACGACGTATGCAGTATTTTGACTCTAGGGAAGCATCCCAGCGCAGAGCATTGTTTAATAATTGCAAAGGTTCCAGTGATAATGGCTTGGCTCCCCACTACTGCAGCCAGTACAGCAATCACCAGAACCGGCCATCTTATTTTTTCTGAAGCAACAGTCTTAAATGTCAATCATTAGCTGAGTTTGCCTAATCTACAATTCTCCCTGTAAAAGCCACTCTTGTAATACGTACCAGGTACTGAAACATAGAAGCCAATCTGATAATCACTCTCCATTACATGATGTCGCGATAGATAAGCAGCTTGCCCCATATACGCAAGAATAAGTGATGGATAAACTATGGAGGTAAAAGCAATCTGCAAAAATGGAACTAGTCTCTTAGACAATGTTACTGTTTCACTATGATACAAAGTGCATGAGCGGGCACAATTCACCAAAGGGACTAGGTTCGAATATCTCATTTTCTACAACCAAAAGGAGAACCTTCAAAATATAGTAACTCAACAGAATCTATCTTCAAACTGTATTTCTTCATGTCTCTAGTTCGTTGTCCTTTTCCTTTAATTACATTCTCATCAGATTATAAACTCATTGGCAGTGATACAAGTGATTATGGTACAACTGTAATAACTTCGGACTGAATAACAGCTAAGAGTCATATACATCATCACGATTCACAAGTATTTGAACTACTTATTATATTTGATACATTTCATCAAGATCAAATTCTAGTAATCATGCGAGATTGATTTGTCAAGACTTACATGTATGACTTTGCAAGGAGATCAATCAGAGATGCTTTTTTTTTTTTCAGAAGAGAAATCTTATCCACAGTTTAATTTAGGAGAAGTTTGTACTACACAGAGGAATAAAACCATATAGACTGATCCGATTTAATGATTCATGCCTCTTGACATTAAGACAGTACTGGTCTTTCAGCTTTTATGATTCATATGATTGGTGTATTTCTTTCTTTTTTAATATTATCTCATACTTTCAGTCAGATTTTGCTGTTGGAAGAACTGGACATATAAAAGGAAGGATGAACACATACCTTTATTGACAACTGTGAGAAGTGTCCGAGATCAGCAAACATTGCTTCTGAACCTGACAGAATGAAATGTCGTAGTAGGTGATCATAGTATTTAAAGAAGAGAAGCGGACAACTATCCTCTTGAGAAGACGACAAACTATACATGCCTGTTATGCACAAAAGGATTCCTCCCAAAGACATCCACCCTCTTGTTTGAGTTTTCTTTAGGAATTTGTACATGTAATAAGGAGACAGTGCTCGATACACATAAGGGTTCCAGTGTATTATATTATATATGCCAATAGCACTGATACAAAGAAGCCAAGTCACGACAACAGGTGCAAACAAAAATCCAACCCTGTGGGTGCCATAATGTTGAAGGGAAAACAAGGCTATCAGTATCATACAAGCAACTGGGACTTCCACATCTGCAAAATTTTCATAATTTAGAAGAAAGTATAGCATGTCTTTTTTGGCAGAGCTAATAAGACTTCAATTTAATTCATTATCCTTAAAATGATTAGAAATAAAATAATTAGCAATGGAGACTAAACTACACTATCCTAAGATTTCTCAAATATTGGAACTCCACGAGACATAACATGCAGAGCAACGAGTACCTATCTCACTGTATAAATGCCGTTTGAATAACTCCCCATCCAGTGGGGGCAAACAACCATAACCACCACAGCAAAAAATGCAAACATTCCTGAAGCACAAAATGATTAACCTATCAATGCTCAGTTTTAACTTTTACCTCTGCAAGTTCCTTTATATTCTCCAGAGACATTTCTAATCAATGAAATTCAGTGAGTCTCAATGACAGTCACCATCCATAAATGCAAGTAATGGATGTTAGCAAAGTAAAGCCATACTTCCTCAAACTCCGAGAATCTAGAGAGAAGTTAATCTCTGCTGACTCTTGAGTCGATATTTCTCTAGAAGTTCAATATTATTAGAAGCATAATAAAATAGGTCTCCACCAATCTACTTGAGGACGTCAAGTTTTTAATTTAGTTTCTCAGCCGGCTGTCATTTGAGATCATCCAACATATACTGATCCTTCCTTTAATATAACAAACCAGATTCGGCTTGGACAAAAATTACAGTGGGGATCACTTTTGTCCACTTGGCTTCGACTGCAGCCCCATTTTATAGAGCAGAAATTCACCAGAAAAGTCCAACTTCCTCATCCACCAAAACCCAAACAGGTATCTGTTCGATTATTACATAATCACTTCTTTGTTAATAGCTCGTAATTTAATACTAGGAAGAATAGTCCTTTATGTCACCTTCTTTTCTCCTTTTATAGATTAAGATTTTCCAGACAAACACCACCATCGAATGTGTAATTAGGAAAGCCTCCCACCACAAGAATTTGATTCCAACATCCAAGCAGCTGATATTATCATGATCGAGCATTCAAAACTTTATCTTTTTGATTGGATCTTTTTGTGACAAAATATACAAGCAACAAAGCCTAGTCTAGGTATGGAACGTTTAAGCAGAATGAAGTAGAAAAAATAAGAATTTCTAGGGCCAGAATGGTCAAAACATTTTCATGACCTTTGAACAAGCCAATATAAGTGAAATATTCTGAATCGAGACCCTACCTTCAACTCCGAGTCCATATGACTTCTGAAGAGCTCTATGAAAATCATACTAGTAGTTTTTAAACTTTAATTTCAATTGTATTGTTGTCGAACCGAATCAAAACCCTTGTATTTAAACAGAATAACTGCAACTGATTTACACATGAAAATGTAACAGTTTGACCTTTAAAGGTGTGTCAAGATTCCTTTATCAAATCCAGAAGCAAGCTATCGAAGATGTTTTCAAAGACTAAAAATTTAGAAAACCACGTGCACAGTTGTCCATGATCTTTCAAATTTCTTTGGGTTCGAACACATAAAAAGCTGCATATACCAGAATGATCTCACGGAACAATATTAAGAATCTTACATTTGTGATGTTCTTTTCCCAAAGAAAGTTCAACACCAGAAACTGCTGAGAAAACTGCAGAGTAATCACCAAAAGAAAATAAAAGTTTTTAGTAACTAACACCAGACATCCCAAATTGAGGTTAAAACCAACCAACCAGCATACCAGAAATAGCAGGTGTAAGAATACCATCTCCTATAACCATACAAGCTCCAATAAGAGCCAATACAAGCAGAAATCTTTGTAATACCCTGTACCTGTTGAAAATATAATTAAATAAATAGAAGTGTACCCTATCTATTGCAACACTCAAATTTGTGACCATCAATAGATAACAACAACACAGGAAAATACCATAAGTGGAGTTTGGGGAGGGTAGTGTGTACTCATATCTTACTCTTACCCGAGGGGTAGAGAGGATGTTTCTGAAAGACCCTCAGCTCAAGACAACGTAAAGAAACACTATATCAGTACCATCAATAGAAAAATCAAGAGATAATGACAGCAACATAAGAACCAGAAAATAGATGTAAAGCAATAACAATAACAAATGAATAAAGCTCGGCACAATAAAAACTTTAAGATTAAATGGTCATTCAATTCAACAATACCTCTCTAGAGTTGATTTAACTTTTGCCCCAAAAGTAGTTGGGGCATGAGTATTGATATCCTTCTTGTAATTTGACAATTCTTCATCTGCTAATTGGAAACTAGGCAATGGATTCAATTTGGCATGTCGACAAAGGAGTGAATATAAAGCAAATGTGCCTCCTTCACCATTATCATCAGCTTTAAGCACAATGAACACATACTTCAATAATGGAACCAAAGTCAATGTCCAAAATACAAACGAAAGAACACCATAGATTTCTTCATTTGTCTCCGTGTGCATAATGTCTTCATCAAAAGTACTCTTATACACATAAAGTGGAGAGGTACTTAAATCCCCATATACAACTCCTAAACTTTGATATGCTAATGTCAACACTGTCCTCCAAGATTCTTTCTGCAACACCAAAAGGTCTTGATTTAATCAGGAAATATGACCAAAGAACTGGACATTAACACGTAAAATAAGACTCACCTTTAAATGATTCTGACAAGTTCTTGTTTCAAGATCCATGATAAGTCCTTTCAAATTCGTAAAGATACCATTTCTATAGCAAAATCAACAATTTCAACAGAGGCCCATTTACATTAACGTCTCTATATATGAACCTTCTCAAGAATAGCACTTCAAGTAAATATTACAAAATGGAAATCCATATAACATGGAAAGTGAACGTAGCCGGTGCATTTTGGCACAATATATATATATATATATATATATAGAAAGATAGTTGTTCAACTTTTTAGAGAATGCACAAACTCGAAAAGCCGCACAGATACTGATATAAAAAGAAACTTCAAATCAGAGCATAAGACTAAAGTACTCTCCTATGAAAGTGAGACAGATAAATTATATTTTCTGAAAGAAACGAAAGAAACAAGAAAGTGATATATGTAGTTTTATATAAGTTGGTGTATGTGAACATTTCAATAGATGAGTTTGCGTTTGGGAGTTAGTTTACAGAAAACCAGCCTATTTGTTTTTCAATTTCTTAAATTCTTGCTTTTGGGTGACTTCAGTACACTTGGCCGCGGCAGAGGGCAAAAACGTTTACGTGTGTTGTTATACCAGGACAAACAAAGTATTAACTGATTCTATTGTGGATTCTTGGAACATCTTTTATTTATTTCGGTGAAGTCTGTATTTAAGCTTAATTGACTTTTTACGGCATGAATAGTTTGTCTTTAGATGAGATTTTACGCAAGTGCTTATTGGATATGCACGGATTTAGGAAAAGCAACGGTTTTAAAGCTCATGTTTACTCTATATACCCTTTAGAAGAGTGTTTAATGGACTTAGGATCGTTTGGTACGCGGACCCTATTATCTTGGGACTATAATCTTAGGATTATAATTCTTGCATTAATTTACCCTGGGATAATATAATCTCAAGTTTAATGGTATAAAGTGGGATATCTTGTATTAAGACTGGGATTAAATTTATATCATTTCTGGTTGACGGTATAAATTTATCTTGAGATAAATTTATACCGCCAACCAAACACAATATAAATTTAATTTTACACCTTATCTCACGTACCAAACGACCCCTTAATGTGATGACCCGCCTAGAATCATTGCCACAGAGATGCTATTTGGCATATATTTTTGGCACGTGGAAGTTTACATAGGAAGGAGATTAACACGTGCGGAAAGGATCTAGAGAAATATGAAGATTTCCCATGAAAGACCTTAAACCCCTATGGAATTGCTAGGAATGTCCGTGGAACTTTCTAGCTTTGTAAATAATTTTAGAAAAAGTCCTTATCTTGTAAAATACTAAGGATTGTACAACAATTAATATTTACACACTATTCCCTAGGAGACTAGTATAAATAGGAGGCCATCCATCTGTAAATCATCACGTAAATAATTCAAGTTCTCTTTAGTACAAAGCCCTCTTTGATAATTCTCGTGTGTTCTTTCTATCATTCCCTTAGCGATTCCTAGTGTCTTAGGCTGACTTGGCATAGCAAGATCGTGAGCAAGTTGTGCAAGAATGTACGCGAGTTATCAAGTGCCCTAGGTGTGCTAAGTTGAAGACTAAGGATGTGACAGTGTGATATCAGAGTAAAGATTGCAACTAAGGTACTGGCGAACAACAGAGAAATTAATATTGCCAACGCCCAAGCCAATATAATCCAGGATACTGTAGGCAAGAAGGGCCGTAACAAAAAAAGGAATGACACCAACAAGTGTCAGGAGGTGCGCCCGAGATTGTGTCAAATGAAGGGATTACATCCCAAGAACCATCTGCCACGGAGGTGAGTGGGGATGAAGTGGAGGTCCTGTCCGAGGACATCTCGCTCGGTAAAGAGTGGGTTATATAGGTGAGCGCAGGGATGGACACCGCGGAGATCTTTGGCCAACGCTTGAGGAAGGTGGAAAACACCCTTAACGTTCTTGAGGGGCACACTCTTGAGGAGATTGAGTGTATTTGAAATAACTTGGAGGGACGTATACAGACTGAGATGGAGCGTTGAGCACTATTGATGCCATGAAGGCAAAGATAGACTCACTCAAGGAGCATGCCGATGGTAGCGTGATCGAGGAAGCCAACAATGTTATTGTGACGAGGGAGGCAAAGATCGAGGTTCCAAGACACCGATGTTTAAAGGTGTTCGTGATGCACACGAAGTGGAGAACTTCCTTTGGCACGTGGAGAACTACTTCAGACACAGTAAACTGAGGGACGAAGAGTACAAGATCAAAACTGTTGTGGTGTACCTCTCATAGACTGCCATGCTATGGCGGAGAAGGAAAATGGACGATATGGAGAAGGGTGTATGTACTATTAGCACGTGGGATCAGTTCAACGCCGAGTTCAAATGACAGTTCTTCCCAAACAATGTCTTGCATGAAGCAAGGTGCAATCTAAGGGAGTTGAAGCTAACAAGGAGCATACCTGAGTATGTCTAGGAGTTTACCATCCTTATGCTTCAAATCCCCAAACTCACCAATGATGAATTGTTTCACTTCATGGGCGGGTTGCAAAATTGCACTAAGCAGGAGTTGCAATGTTGGCAAGTCATAGATATAGACCAAGTCATATTAGAGGCTGAATTAGTGATGGATTTCAGGCATGAAAAGCATGACAAAGACAAAGGCGAGGAGTCAAAAGTTATAAATGTCAAAAGTGGTGGAAACTATGGAAAAGGAAAGAATATGCAACAACAATACTCCAAGAATCGAGATGCCAAAAATTCGGGTGGCCATTAGAGCTACGACGAGAATAAGGCGCATTGCCGAGAAGAAAGAAAGCTATATATGTGGAGGGCTGCATGACTTCAGGACTTTGCCAGATCTAAATAGCCTCAATGCCATGGTGCGTGAACGGAAAAAGCAGCCACAAAAGAGAGTTCAGGAACTACAAAGTTGGGTATGATTGAAATATGTGGTGCGGTTGTTTACCGTGAAAATGGTACCAACAATTAAATTTGTAAATAAGACTCTAAAAACACGTGATCCATTTTTATGCTAGTTGTTAGAGCAGTTGATGCTAGGCGTATGAAGTTTAATGATGAAGTACAAGCTAAAACGGGGCAGTAATCAAACCGAGGGGCTTGCTGCCCGGGCCTCGGGCTGATCGATGGGAGCCTTCAAGGTTGATGCATGGGCTCGAGTTTGACCTATGAGGGGTAACCGAGAAGGGGATAACAGTTAGAATACAATTAAAGAAGGCTCTTTATGGCCAATATCAAGCAATAAATGAAGAACAAGTATGAAAGCAATAAATGGAAAGAGTGGCCTCGAGCGAGTAAGCTAGAGAGAAAAGAGAGAGATATTATTGATCTTGTGTAGAATGGTTGGAGGGAGATACATCAGTCGAGAGTTACAAAGTGATGGGGATCCCCTTTATATATGAGGGGAATCCCGTTGTAGTACAAAATGCATTAACTGTAAAAGCATGGAGACGGGACGGTTGGATGCGACATCTTGAGACAGGCCCCGGATAGGTCAGCTTTGTCAGATTAAGCCCTGTGCCTTGGAATTCCCCCTCGCATACTATAGCCATTAGAACGCAATGTCCTCTGGGGCTGGTACCTGGTTACCCCGAAGGGTGAGTCTCGACCTTGGATTTGATCCTCGAGGAGCATGACCTAAAGACGACCTAATGACGGGGAAATCGGGCCCCCGGATTTACCACGTACAGATAGTCTCCGCGTTTCTTAGAGTGAAAGCGGCAAGAAATAATAAAAACGATCCTGAACTTCTGTTTCCTTCGATGTTCTTGCAATCGGCGACAGCTACGAGGTACCAAGATGCAACATGCATGTTGTTCCTACAGGTTCCTATATTGACTGCGGTGGTTGGCTGCCTTTTGGCTTCCTTCAATGTACATGCAGTGCTTTTATAAATACTCCCCTATTTCTTTTTATACCCTATTTCGTGCCAAAAACCCCTAATAAGGTTTGTTCTTCCTTCTTTATTGTTCTCTTTTAGGAACGCAACTCTTTTTTTTCCTTCAGAATCTCCGAAGGATGGCAAAAATTTCCACTTCTGCTTCCCAAGAGATCGCGGGTTCATCCTCTTCATTTTTCTCTCAAGGCAAAGTGGTTGCTCCCCTTTGTGTTGAGGAATGTGTCCCAGGATCCTTTGCGATGACCTCCGATTTCAAGGTCGAGAGACCTTCCTCGAAACCAGGGCATCGCGAGCCTGCAACTCAGTATATCAGCTCGATAATGGACGTCGAGAGAGTGAGAGCTGACTGTCACTGGGGGGATACCGTGCTTGTGGAGATTCCTTCTCGGTAGAAAGATATTACGGCTCATAAAGCCAACTTTCTAAGTATATCCGTCTATCCATTTACCTTGGGGCCGGTGGGGCCATTCTCACCCCCGATCAACCCCGTGATTCTCGACTTCTGCCGGAGTTATCAAGTGACTCTGGGCCAAATTCATCCTTTGTTCTGGCGTGTGGTTTATATGATCAGGCATTATTCGAACATGATAGTGGAGATTCCATTCACCCTCAACCATCTGATCCGGATGTATAGTCCACGTCTTTTCTGTGGGGGCTTAATCAAGCTTCGCTGCCGAGCCCGGAGATCCCTTTTTGCCTGCACCGAGGAGCTTAGGGATGAGGGATGGGTAAGCTAATTTGTCCGAGTGAGGAAGTCTGACCTGATTCTAGTGGAAAAGATGTCGTTCCCTGAGAAGTGGAACGTTGAGCGTAAGTAAACGTGTTGTCCTTGCTTCTTTTTGGTGATATTTCTTCAAGCATCTAACTCTACTTTTCTTGCCTTTTCAGCAGTAGCAATCTACTCTGGTGCGGTGTCGGATCTCCGGGGTTGGGTCGGCCGCTTATGCTCGATTTGCCCATATACTGAACGAGTGTAGCGAGATTTATCCCAAGCCCGGTGGGAAGCCAAAGACCATGGTGAGCCCCGAGCATTGCTGCATCCCATACTTTGACGTAGATCGTTGTTAGTAGCATTCTTCATCATTTGCGTTTAACCTCTGCCTTTATGTAGGTCTGGGGAAAATCCCTTTGAAGAAGGAGGCACCACCCGTTGGAGGGGGCGCCCTGGTGCTTGGCGAGAAGAAGAAAAGGCAGGAGAGTCTGCCGGTTGGGCCTCCAAAGCTCAAAAGGGTTAAAGAGGAAGATTCCAAGGTTGACCCAGCAGTTCTGACCTCTGAGATGATGGGAAACCCTCGAGCCGAAGGTGAGGGACAAAGCAGCTTCTTAACGGTCCTAGAAGAGCGTGCAGGCTCGGCCGACCCTCGTGCCATGGGGATGGAT